CCCCCCCCCCCCCCCCCCCCCCCCAAAAGCTTGCGCCCCGCTCCGATGTGTGCTGCTCGGAAGCCTCCGTGATCCATGAGAGGTGACGCGCGACACAACGCCTCGGCCGGCGGGCGAGCGTAGGGGTCGCTGCTGTGTAATGTGAGTTCTTGAAGCAACTGTGGATTCATCGAGGAGGCGGGGAGGGGAAGATCAACGAAGAGCGAGCACAGCTGGCAGCATGGCAGCATGGCAGAAGACGACGTCCGGCGGTGCGGCGATCTTGGCGATCATGACGGTGCGTGCAGCGCTGTGTAACAAGCAAGCCTTGAACGCCTGCAGAGCTGGCAATCAGCTGACAATGAGCTACGCGGTGCAATCATTCAGTGTACCAAAGATGTGAGATACCGAGCGCCACAGGCATCGGTGCACAGCGTTGGTCGAGGAAACGCGACGGTGCAGAGCGTTGACTCGCGGTGATCAGAACAGTGACAGAGTTGCGAAGCCGCACGGGCAGCCGGACGTGACATGGGCGTCCCAACGTTCGGTGCTGCTGTTTGGTGCTGCTCTGTTATTGCTGATGTCGCTGATTCTGGGGAAGAGTCGTTGCTTGCACCTCCAATTGCATCGACATGGGGAACAGACCATGGGGATGAAGCCGAAATGGTGGTATATCACGTGACTTCGGCGTATAGCTCGCCCTCGATTCAGCTGTCATGGGCCTATAATTACACCCTTCATCATCCCACTCACTGGATCACCACTGGTTCGCACTGTCCGCGTTGCCCTGCTGTCCTCTGACCTGCGCAGAATGAGGGGAGTACAGGCCAGGCCTCGCTAGAAAGACGCCATTGTTACGCCAACAGGATGAGCTGAGCCGCTGTTGCAACTTATGCTTCCGAGCATCTCGATGCCGACGTCACCGACGCTGCACGCCATGCCCTCCTATGTGGTGTCATTTCGGTGCCCTGCCTGCCCCGGCTGCAAGACGGAGTGCAACGCGAGTGGTGAAGCAGCGGCACCCCATTATCAGCACCTCCAGCCTCCCAGCTCTTGCGGCATTCAGCTTCCTAGATCACGTTGAAACGACGACCAGGAACAACCTCCCTGACGCTTAGTGACTTCGCTAAAGTATTAATAGACACAATCTGACAGTCAGTCTCAAACATGACCTGTGGCACCACGCCGGTACGCCGTTCACCGAGTGCGCATGATCTGCATGACGCCATGACTCGCCGAGATGGGGTCACCGATCACCGAAACGGTGCCGTGCAAAGCTGCGACCTGCGGATCACGGACAGCCGCCGAGCCTCCGTAGCCGCCATAGCCCATATACACTCCGCTTTCGAGCGCCACAATGTCCTCTTATCTAAAATGGTGCGTTCGCGGCAGAGCCGACTGATAGCAGGGCAAGGATAGTCAACACGCACATGAGCCAGCCGAGAAGGCCAAACACGGCGTCGACCCCGAGCTGGGCTCGGACGCGTCTAGCACCAACGACGAGTTCGCTCTGCTCGCCGCTAAGGAGGAGGGGCACGATATCAAGTTCCGCACGCTGAGCTGGAAGAAGGCGACGCTCCTCCTCTTCGGAGAGTATGTGTGCCTCGCGATCCTTGCCTTGCCTTGGAGCTTCAGCGTGCTGGGCTGGGCGCTTGGCCTCATCGTGCAAATCGGCATGGGCCTCATCACGTGGTGTACGGTCGCCCAGGCGCACCGCTGACTCCAGACACGAGCTACGTGCTGTGGAAGTATATGATGAAGTACCCACAGGCGCGCGACGTCGCCGACATCGCATGCGAGCTCGTGCCCCGCTGGGCACGGCGATTCGTGTACGAGGCGACAATCGCCATGCTCATTACAAACAATATCATGATCATTGGCTTCCATGTCTTCACCGGTGCCAAAATCCTCAACACGCTCTCGGACCACTCCGAGTGCACCGTCGCGTTCCAAGGCATCGCGGCCATCATCGGCATCATCGTTAGCATTCCGCGAACCCTCAACCACGTTACCTCGATGGGTGTGTTCTCCGCCGCGTGCATGGGCATCGCCATCCTCTTATGCCTCATATTCTCAGGCATTCAGCCCCACCCCGGCGCGGGGTACGGCGGGAAGTACCCTGCCCTCGGGGAGGTGCGCACCGCCGGCGGACTGCCTGGCAACCCCGGCTTCGTAAATGGCTTCAACGCCGTGCTGAACATCACGTTCTTGTGGATCGGGCAGATCCTCTACCCCTCCTTCATCGCGGAGATGAAGGAGCCCCGCGACTTCCCCAAGGCACTCGCGGCACTCACTGCGCTCGAGATGGTGCTTTTCCTCGTCGTCTCCGTCGTCGGATACCACTATCTGGGGCAGTACGCCGAGGCGCCGATGATCGGCTCGTTCCTCGAGGTCAAGCACCGCAAGGCCGCGTTCGCGTTCGTCATCGTCCCCACCGTCATCATCGGGGCAATCTACTCCAACGTTACCGTCAAGGTGCTTCACCGACGAATCCTCGGCTCGGAGAGCCGGCACATGCACTCTAACACGGCGGTGGGGTGGCTGTGGTGGGTCGCCATTACCACGGTGGTTTGGGGCATCGGCTTCGTCCTCGGCAAGTGAGTTAGCTGCTTGAATAGAGCTAACAGAAGCGTCATCCCCTCTATGGGCGATTTCCTGAGTATTATGAGTGCCGCTTTCGACTCGTTTTTTGGCTTCATCTTCGTGGGTTAACCGGATGGAATATCGATTAACACCAGTGGTCAACCGCATACTACCACCTCAACCGCGGGCGCCTCTTCAAAGGCGTCTTCCAGACAATCATGACGATCTTCAACGTTTTCATTTTTCTTATTGGCCTGCTCATGCTGGGTCCAGGCCTGTACTCTGCTGTGGACGCCATCGTTACCGATTACTCGGGAGCGGTCACGTCGCCCTTTGCGTGTGATGACAATGGTCTTTAGCCGCGGCTTCGTTGTATATGATTTGTATTCAACCATGAAGGAGCCGACGTGTGCTGGCGTGGACGTGCGGCCGAGAAGGCGGTTCACTGCTGAGGATCTGATTACGATGTTTGAGGCGCCACGAGGACAAGTGCAAACGCGCAGATCCGCAGGCGGCCGTGCAGATGGTGAATGCGGAATGTGCCAGCGCGACTGATGTTTGGCAGGAAAATCTTTCCGGAGCGGTTCCAGCGTCCACTGAAACCGAAGCCATCGTAGCGGCGCACGTCACTTTCTCGTGCTTGAATGAATTTTGGCAATGCTTACCCCGCCCATTCAACCGTGCCATTGTTGGCATGTTGCGAAGGTGCGACAGCGAAGCATGTGGTGGCACAGTGGCATTTGAGTGACTGAGTCGGCGACGTCTTGGCGTCACCCCGGATTGAGTCCTTTGGCCTCTCATGCCCACATTTCCAGTCTCGCACCGCTCGCATATCCGTGCGCCGCGGAATGGGGCGCAACAGAACTTGCCGATCGTGGAATGCACACACCCTCGCACCGCCGGCCAGAATGGGTCTGGGATCTGAGACGTCCGCGCACATCGGCGGCTGGGGAGCGGCGCGGCGCTGGAACACGTGCTGCGCATATTGCGCCCCCCTAAATCGACGAGAAGGACTGGAAGCGCGACTCGGCTCACCCACCTTCCGCACATGCCGCACAAGCTGAAATACCGCGAACCAAACAGACGACCCCCACACCATGTCCCAACGCCAGCTGCCTAGCTCGTCAACGTCTGCGTATCAGTTGCTGCCCACCCCCGCCGCAACACCGCCAGCATCACCCGTATCTGAGCTTGTACCCAAGACTCCGGAGAAGCCGGAATACATTCAGGCTCTCGAGTACCTCCAGACCCCGGAGAGCACTCAAACGTCAGAGGACCCTCAGACGCCGGAGAACACCCAAACGCCCGCCCCAGCGCCGACGGTCCCAACCGCATCAACCCCGCCGAGGAAGCAATTCTGCATCGGCGACCCCACGTTCTGCAACTTTGCTGGTATGTATAGCATGAATGATGAATGCGCTTACGCAGAACACTGCCTCGCAGCCACAGCCACGCGCAACGGCAATCGCGTTTGCAGGTTTTGCAATCTCCGCATGCCTTAAGCTGGAACCCTCAAACAAATCGTACCGACCAGCCATCACTGTCACTCAGGCGACTACTTTACGCACCAGCCATGTCCTTCTTGCCCACAAGTTTGCGGGTCCAACATCGCCTCCCACCAGCCATAACATTGCGATGGAAACATGCGGGGGCAATGCACGCGGCGTCAACTTCCAAGGTAGGCGGAGGTCGGCTGGCGCTGACGATAGGTGGGCACGACGTCCAGGCTTGGGTGCATGGGCGGTGGCGATGCGCGTACTGCCTCAAGACGTGGGAGAAGAAGGCGTTCGAGAAAGGTCGGAGAACGGCGAAGAATGGGAGCGACGTGAATGGCGATGTTTGGAAGCGTCAAGGCATAATTGAATTGAGATTCCGCCTCCCAATTGTGCCGCGGCCATGAATTCCGCATTCTGCGAAGCGACAAGCCATCGCCAGAACAGCCGCTTCGACAGACGTCGGCGCCGGCTCTGAATCACGCGGCAAGCCTCGTCGGACAAATAAGTGGCTGGGCAGTCTTAGTCGCGCATGTATCACTCTGCATAGCCCTTGAGCTTTGAGTCGAGGGTAGGAGCCACGTCATGCAGAATACACGCTGCCTAGCAACTATACGCGCGCCCGCACCATAGACAGTGCCACGCGCCGTTGTAGTGGACGTACAACGGAGCACAAGGTTCTGCATCAGCGCGATCGCGGACGACTCACCGCCGTCGTCGCAGATAGGAGTGGGCATATTGGCAGTGCGAGGTGTCATCGCCATTAGGTTGCAGTGATGAGGAGGTCAGTGAGGTGATGGGAGGTAATGGTAGGTGATGGGAGGTGATGGGGACGTAAGTAGTGCTGACGATGCAAGTGATGGGGAAGAAGCGAGGTGTAGTGGGGCTGAGAATGGTTCGCCATGGTCTGAGAAGCACGCGTTCGGGTGTGTTTGCCGTGTCCAGCGCCTCATTCCGCTTCAATCTTGCAGGAATTGAGGTGTAGAGATGCGAGACACAAACCACGTAGGCTCCAAACATGAGACAAGATCCCGCTCGGCCTCCGTGCGGGATTGATGAGTCAACCACAATGTACTTTACAAGCTTCCGCACCGCGTCGTTGTTTTGGCCATCCTATAAAACCCTACTTCTGCGCACATCTTTCACCCCCACCATCACCATGCCGATCGACTACAGAGCCTACCCGCACATCGTGGACACCATCCTGCGTGCGTGCGATTACTCCACGATCCTGGCGTGGAGGGCCACGTCGCGCCACTTTCGCTTCGCGCTCCACGACCGCTTCGCCCTCGAGCACCTGACGGTGGACACGCGTGGGCGGCGTCGGCGCCCCATTATGCGCAACAAGCAGGGGCTCGTGCCATCCGCGTTCGCTGATTGGGACGCGCAGCAGGACTTCGGCCTAGGGTGGGATTGGGGTTCGGATTCGGACGACTCCGAGTACTTTCCTCCCGGATGTGGACGGTGGGGACGGGGGGACTACAGCGACCCATTCTCGGACGAGACGGACAGCGCCACGGAGTCAGACTCAGAAGACGGCGACGAGCTCGCACGCCGCGCGGCCGCCGAGCTGCGCGAGGTCGAGGCCTGTCCCCGCTGCCAGGAGTGGGAGGCAGCCATCCTTGCCCAGCTGCCCCAGGCGTGTGCGCAGGCCGACGAGATCGCGCGCTACGTCGACGCAGTGGAGTTGTACGAGAAGCGCGTCTTCGCGGACCAGCAGGCGGGGTACGACCACGACTGGGACCAGGAGGCGCTGTCGGACATGCACCTCTCGAGCGAGTATCAGTCCACGCTCGGTTCCAGGCCGACCATGCCTGTCCTGCAGCCCCTTTCGCCTGACCCTGACGAGCTGGCGGACCACGACGGGCACGCGCACGCGCACGAGACAGCGAACATGAGATTCTGGGCGGCACAAACTAAGCATGTCGCCCGCAGGAAGGAGGCGTTCGCGCGCGCCGCCGCTAAAGTCCGTGTGCTCGACGTGCCGGGCGCCGCGCTCTTGCACGGCCTCGAGGCGTTCACAGGGCTGGAAGTGATCCGCTACGTCGGCCAGCCAAACTTGTCCCCGGCCTGGGTCGCGCTCGGCGCCCCAATCGTTGTGCGCTTCCTCGACCTCACGCCGGCACCCGGAAGGTGGTGGGAGCCAACCTTCGAGCCGGACTGTATCGCTGCCAACGACGTGTGGGACGTTCACCATCCCCGCAGCTCCAGTCTCTGCCATAACCGCCTCGATCTGTATCGCCCAATGAAGAAGATGGTGGTCAGCATAACCTACCATCCCGAGCACGCACTTATGCCCTCAAGCATTGCCTATACCGAGAATGCCTACCTCGCCAATCCCCAGCTGGAGCACGTCGTCGTCATTCTTGTGCCCTCGACAAAACCGGCTCCATCTTGTCCAATGCCCTCCAAGTATTCTGAGGGCCACCCATACAACTGCAAGGCGGTGTGCCGGCTATTTGGCGGCGTTCACCATGGCAAGTACGGGTATGGGCCTGCGACACTCATCGTGGAGCAGACCATGGACTACTACTGCCGCTTCGTCGACAGCTATTTCGGAGTGCGCCCTCGGCCACATCTGACTGTCGTGGGTCTCGTGGAGCTAGGGAATGCGGCCATTGACCTCCACGGGGACGGGACGGAGATGCATTACGAGGGTGACGTTCCCTTTGCCACCCTCAGCACGGCCGAGAGAATATACGCCAGAGCCACTCGCCACATCAAGAGCCAACAAAGGTGGGATTTTGAGTGGAGTCGTGCTGCTCAGATCGCGCGCGACTTCATGCGATTGCTGAGTTTGGACGAGTATAGGAACGAGGTCGGCGAGGAGCAGTTCCGACTGGAGACAGTGCCTCCATCGGTACCGACCACACTCGTGTACTCGCGTCGTTATTAGTCTGCTATGCAATGCCACCAGCTTGTTAGTCTGGTTATGCCTTGGAGAGTGGCTTTAGGAGACTGGCAATCATCACACCAAAGAAGGGATTATCTCCACGCAGGAAGTGGACTAAGCGATTTGTCTGCTGCATAAGTGCTTGTTTGCTTTCACAAAGTACTCCTCCAGTTGCAGTTCTGACTTCGTGGTGGAGGAGATGCAGATCAACTCATTCGAGTTCATGACCTTCCTGGGTGTGAGCGGAGTTCCTGATCAACAACCCACCTCGGCCACCATCGAAGACAAGGCGCAGGTCTGTAACGTTCACCTCCGCTCGCGCAAACCCGCAGTCATCGCCGCATTGTCAGCGGCGGACGATGTGGGCGAAGGGTCGAGGTCGGGGATTGGCGGCATGAGCCAAGTGCATGCCGACGATCTGTCCGTCTCCGGCTGTCTGTGCGCTGACTGGGCGACGTGGATGGTCAGGCGGGGGATGTCACAAGAGTGTGTCGTGGGAAGTGTTGCGCCAGTGCGCACCACAGCTCCACAGGCGACACGAGTGGCTACAGTGCGGTGGCGCTTGGTATGATACGGAGCGATAGGGCAGTTTGAGGTCAGGAAGATGCGAGAGGACAGGCGTCGCACGCGATCGCACGGCCGTTCAGGCGCGTAGAAGGGAGGTGACAAACGACACGACGACGCGACAAGCGCTCGCGCTTAAGCGAGCGGCGCGACTCCAGGCGCCGCGTCCATGACGCGAAAAGGTCCGCCGCCCGCCGCGACGCCTCGCGTGCCACCCGCCTTGCCGTCGGTGCTGACCACGCGCTTGACGTAGCCGCCCGACACATCGCCGCTGTACTGGCGCTTGCAGTACTGGCAAGTCCACGAGTTGGACTCGTCAGTGGCGAGGGGTCCGACGCAGCAGCCTGGTGTCAACCCCGGAGGGGATGAAAGGTGTGACAACGTACTGGAGTAGTGAGAAAGCGAGTCGCAGACGGGGCGGCCGCGGGGAACGATGCCGGCGGAGCGGTTGGGGGGAGGAGGAGATGGAGACATGGACATTGCGGGGGATGATGAGATGGGGAGGGGAGAACGATGGTGTGAATGAAGAGATGCAGGAAGCAAGGAGGGAAGGAAGGTGGGAATGGTGGGTGGGGGGGTGAGACAAGACTGTGCGGAGCCGGAATTCAAGTTTGTTGATCAGATTCAATTCAGGCACCATTATCGGAACGGGGTCTCCGCCTCCACCCAGTAACCTCCACTCACCCGACACGGCTCCCGTCAACCTCTTTCCGACATCGGACTGTGGCAGCAGAGTTTTCTTCCCGCCTTTTCCTTGCATGCTCGAATCTCGCTCGCTCCCTTGCTCCCCTTCCGAAGTACATGAGACACCAATGCAGAAATCTATTGCTGGTAGTACATTATTGAAGTTCTATGATGGTAGTGTGTAGAGCAGCCCAATCTCCATTACCAGTGGGGCGCGTTGATGAAGAGACCCAGGAGGCACCCCGCGACGGTACCAGCGATGGGGACCAGCGATGGGGACGGTGAGGACCCAGCCCAGGAAGATCCAGCCAAAGGCCTTCCAGTTGACTGCGCGCCATCCACCAGAGACGAGGCCGACGCCCATAGTCGCGCCCGCGAGACACATGGTCGACGAGACGGGGATGCCGTACTGCGAGGCAAGGAGGACACAGAGCGAGGCGCCGAACTGCATGGAGAAGCCACGCGAGGGCGAGTGCAGGGTGAGACGGTTACCAAGAGCAGCCATGATGTTGTAGCCGTAGGTCGCGAGGCCGATGACGATCCAAGCACCACCAAAGACGAGAACCCAAGTGGGCGTAGGGGTGTCCTTCTCGAGACGGCGGCCCTCAGACCAGATGAAGTAGATAGCCGAGAGGGGGCCAACGGCGTTCGAGACGTCGTTGGCACCGTGAGCGAACGAGTTGACGCAAGCAGTCAGGACCTGGAGGTAGGTGTACAGGTGCTCGGTGTCGTTGTCGTACTGGTGGGCGAGCTTGTGGATCTCGCGGAGGTGAGCGGCAGTCTTCTCGTCCTTCATCTGGTGGGCGTGCACGTCGTAGTTCGAGCCCTTGGTGAGAGCCTTGAGACCGCGCTTGCCAATGATAAGGAGGTTGCGAGGAAGGATCCAGGGGCCGACAATCTCGTCCTTCTTGTCGACCTCGTCGAGAGGAACGGTGGTGCGGGGAGCGGTGGTGGAGGAGTTCTCGGTCTGGCCAGCCTCGACGTCCTTGACCTTCTCGTTCGAGTCGTTCGAGGGAGTCTGCGAGGGGGCGTGGAGCTCAGCGACAGCGACGGCAGTCTCGGCGACCGGGGCAACAGAGTCATCGGCGGGGGCAGAGTGCTCGTCCTCACGGCCGTAGACACGGTAGTCGTTGATCACGGGGGCAGCCATGTCGGCGGGCATCTCGGGGACCGGGCGCTTCCAGAGCATCGGGCCAAGGGCCATGTGCCACCAGCGGAGCGACCAGTCCTTACGGACGACCTTAGCGTAGACGTACGGGAGCCAGAAGACGATCGAGAGAACAGCAACGACAAACGCGGTCAGGCAGATGGCAATGGCCTGGGTCGCGCCGCTGAGCTTGTCGAGCTTGAGGCCTGGGGAGCCCTTGTACACAATCGACATGGTAAGGACGGCGATGACGGTGAAGAAGTAGACGGGCGACAGGTACATGGCCTCTGGTCTGTCAGCGGGAACTGATTTGCGTGTGGCACCGCCAAAAGTGGCGTTTCCATGGGAGGTCTCTAGCGGAGGCTTGCAACATCCACCGAAACCATTGGGTACTCACTGCGCACGCTGTCCTTGCGGTTGAGCACGGCATACTTGGTGATGAGGTAGATTGTCGAGGCAAAGCCACCCGAGATAGCGGGCGCAATACCGAAGCCGGCGAAGATGGTCGCGAGACCCTTGCCGCCGTTCCAGCCCCACTGAACACCGGCGGGGCCGGCAACAGCGACACCAACACCGGCAAGCGCCGAAACGAGCGAGTAGGTGGTCGAGACGGGCCACGAGTTCTTGGTGGCGATCATGAGCCAGGTAGCAGAGGTCACGAGGGCGCAGGTAAAGGCGAGCATCTCAATGCCAAAGTTGCCGCGGAACATCTCCAGGGCGATAATGCCGTTCTTGATCGTACCGGTCACCTTTGCACCGACGAGCACGGCTCCTAGGAACTCGAAGATTGCCGCGAGCACACATGCCTGACGCATGGTGAGCGAACGGGCCGCAACCGAGGTGGCGAACGAGTTGGCGACTACTGTCAGTGCACGCACGTGGGACGCCATCGCCACCCATAAGGTGGCGCTGGTCGTGTGAGGTGGTCGTGTGAGCACCGTCGGGCGCCCCCGCATAAATCGCCCAGGGCCATACCACTCCCACCCCCACTATGACTCACCATCGTTGGCACCGATGTTGTAGGCGTCGAGCGCGGCGAAGATGAGGCCGATCGCGAAGATGTAGTCCCACTGGTGAAGCTTGGGCATGGTGACGAGCGCTCGGTGAGCGTTTTTGCTGCAAGAACGGGGACGAGAGGAGGAGGAGTGAGTACTGAGTCTTGCTGCAGTCCGCCTTTAGAGTGGTCGTGTGACCGCTCACACGACCACTCACACGACCTGCCTACGTTGGCGCCGCGCCCTCACCGGCATGCATGCAGACAAGTTTGCGTGCATCCTGCGAGTTTCTCCTGTGGAAATATTCTCATTCGTCGCAACACGAACGTGTGTGTACACGTTCGTGGATAGCAGCCTGCCAAGGCTTGGCAGTATTCAGGAACCGACGGGCGGTAGTGGGCGGCGGGCTTCAAGACCAAGACCTGCTTCTTAGAGAATCAGCCCGGGTGGTGCAGGCCCTACGTCAGGTAGACTTGTTTGTCTGAGGCGGCCGGCACGTGGCATTCTTAGTGTCTATGACCCGATTCGTTCTGTACTTTGTGCACGACTGCGCGTCGTCCAAGAGTGCGACACCGGACGAAAGCGAGGCGGCCCAGGGCCAGGAGAGACAGCCAAGCAATCGATGCCTGCTGGGGACGGAACAGCGCCGAGTGTCCGACGACGCTGACACGTAGATTGAGGTACGCGCTACTCACGGAGCTTGATGTGGCATGCGGACCTCAACACGCCCTCTTTGGCAACGGTGGTCTTGGCGTGCGTCTGATAGAGTGAAAATATTGAGAGCTGCACATGGTGTCACACATAAACGTGATTGATCGTGTCTGCACGGTGATTGCCCGTCAGCTTGTCAGTCACATGCTCACCGCTAAGCTGCTAGCGCCCGACATCTAACCGGTCGAGATTCATGGACTTGGCGCCATTCAGAAGCTGCTCACCGGTGAAAGACGGGCAAAGCGCCATGCCGAGCAGACCGGGATAGGGGAATGGGGGGATCGGCGGGCGCCATTCATCAAAGATCACCAGAAGCAAATTTGATTCCGTCTATCTACGAACTGACCCCACCTCTTTGTGCTCACCTCACCCCTTCACCCTACGTCATGCCAGATGCCGTATGCCCGTCTCACAAATCACCAGTTGCCAACGCTCCAACGGCAGCGGGCAAGGTTTCCGTCAGCACTGGCAGCTGACAGGAAGCTCAGGTGCCTGGAACGCGTCCTGTCTGGCATGGCCCGAACGGATATTGTGGCGCGATCGACGCGATCTCTCACAACTTCTGCTGCCAGGTGGCGTATCGTGTGAACTGAACTCCAGCGTGGATCCATGCACTGCACGAATGGAACGATGCCGGGCAGAAGACAACTGGATGCGTCAGGGGTGTACGGATTCACATGCCCATGACCGGTTACGCCTGGCGCCCTCGCAGGCGAGAGGAGAAATGGAAGGCAGCTGACCGAAACGCTCTTGGCCCCAGCCACGAGCTCGACGCCGGACACCGGCATCTGCTTCACGTCTCAGCTCATGGTCTCGAGCACAGCGAATTGCAGAGCTTCAGATCTCGGTCACAATTGACCTGGCGAAGATGGGTCATTGGCGGGACCACGCGCGTCGGCAGCCGGACTAAGCGTTGGCAGGAGCGTCCTCGTGCCCACCACGCGGCCGTCATCACCCGTATGCTTGGCGACGCCGCTACGTTCGCTCTCGAGCTTGGCAGTCACATCGGTGACTTACGCGATGTGGCGCGCGACCAGCCACGCTTAGGTCCCTAACGACCTCCCTGCGGCCAGGCTTTGAGCTCCACTGATAGCGGTCTTTTGGGCCGCACGTTGAGCCGGGGCCAACCGCCGCCGAACGTCGCGCGACTCGGGTCGCGAACCGCCAGCGGCACTGGCTTCCCTACGATGCAGCGCCGTGGGCTATGCGGTTCTGTCTTGTCTTCGCTCTGGTCAGGCTTCTCCGCCGGCTCAGCGAGGCTGAGAAATGGATGCAACTGACCCGCAGCGGCGGACTGCCCTCTGACGTTGGCACACACGCACCTGCATCGCTGGCGTGCTGCTGCTCCGCACCTCCCACTCGACCGCGCCGCGGGCATGGTCTGTTCAGAGGTCTGTCCTCTCTAACACATCTCACCCTCCTCCGTCGTCAAATGACCAAGACCTTGCCTCATCCTCACCGTGAAGTGTCTGCAAAGCGCATCCGTTGGTTCCCAGAGGATCACAGCGGACATGGGGATACGTGCCTTGTGGACATGTGTGACTGGGAGACGTCCAAGAACCACCGCGGAGGCTGGGGGAGGAGCATAGCTCGTCCCGCAAGCCACAGTGTGCGGCGATGTGAGGGAATTAGGTGGTGTGTGCTGTGGGTGTCAGCTGTGCGAGTCATTCGAGTACACTGACCTGCTCTGCATTTAAACCGACTCATCATCTTCAGTCTCGCTACAATCATGGTCCTGCCCCCGCCCCCCACCAGCCCGCACTCCAGCTTGCGTTCGAGCTCGAGCTCGAGCTCCAGCTCGCCCTCCAGTACGCATCGCCCAATTTCGCTGCATCTCGATCTGCGTCTGGCGCCTTCTGGCGACATGGACAGCGTCCCGACGAGCGCCACGGACAGCGCTATCGAGCCCAGCGTCCTCGACGAGATGTATGGTGAGATTTTCCTCGACGAGATGTATGATAGCTATTTTCTCGACGAGGAGCTCCAGGACAGCATCGTCGACAGGTTGCATGAATACAGCATCCTCGACAACATTCGTGACAGCACCCTCGACAATATCCATGACAGCACCCCCGACAATATCCTTGACAGCA